AAAACAAGTATGTCTATCAATGTGAATCTCGCAAAACTATCTCCATTTTTTTTGAGCCATCAGTTTTTGAGGAAAAACATTTATCTTGATCTGTCTTTAGAAAAATATTTTACAGCAAGGATTCAATGTTTTAGTACCGGAAAGTCTTAAAATTTATATTAAAACCTCAATTTGGGAAATATAGTTACAAATCACCTAATATTTACATCTTTCATCTCCTACTCTCTTTCTCAATTTTAGCATACACATAATTTTAAATATATCCACTTTGAAAAAATCATTATCTTTTAATTCAAAGTATTGCTATTTTCATTTTAAAAGATTATTTCCCAAAACACAAGGTGATTCATCAAGTGCTACATTTAAGAAATAAATAACCATCCTGTAATCGCCTCCAAACTGTATATACGCATCAACAACATTTCAAATATCGTAATGTTCTACCTAATTCTATTTAATTTACAAGTTCTAAAATAATGCTTACCCTCTGCCCCAATTGACAAGAACTGCCAAAGTCAACGATCTTGATTGCACTGCGTTTGGGGTTACAAAGAAGGATATTCTCAGGTTTTAGGTCACAGTGAATGATACTAAGTTCTGGAGTCGCAAGGAAAAGCAGTGCAGTGCACATCTGTTGTGCAAACTTTCGTGTTAGGTTCAAAGAGACCCCTCGGAAATTGGTGTTCCTCAACAAATCATAGAGGTTGTAGGACAGCATTTCAAAAACTAAACAGAGATGGTTTCGAAACATAAAGTGGCGTTTCAAATGCACTGAAAGAGAAAAAAGTTTCATTTTAAATTATATCAATAAAATGAGAGTAACATACACACTCTCAATCTGTAACATTACAATGTCAAATGCACAGTGAAAATGAAGTTAAAGTTTGAAGATAAGCATTCTGCAATAACAGTCCAGTTTTTACTGAATTAAACAGGTGTACTGTCTATCAATAAGTGATATAAGGTAAGAAGTATCACGAAAATACCTTGCTTTTTTTTTTTTTTTTTTAAAGTCAGGTCTGAAAACACAAGTGGCAAACTGACAAACAGTACTAAAGATACTTTAGCATCTTTATCTACATTTATAAAAGAAAGCACTTTTTACGTCCTGAGAGCCCTCCTTCGATGTCACATATCTAAGTTGCACCTACCGGGATCTCTGGTTTATGACAATGCTCTATGCTCTCCACTTGGCAGCCTTCACCGTGTAGGTTTTCATATCTAAACACATAGTATGTGTTGCTGGGCTTTAGATTTCACTAATGGTTACCAGAGTTTTTTTTTTTTCTTTTAGGCAAATACAGTAAATGTTTGAAAATCAAGTTGTAAAGTATAGGAGTATGTTTATCAAATTGGAAAATGGGAAATCTTGGGTAAGACTGAAGGTTTGGGAAAAATTCAAAATAAAGCTCAACCACAAGAAGAAATACGTATAGGCCTATAAACGGGGAAACAGTATAGAATACATGACTTGCTATCACTGCTGACCCTCTAAAAAAGGCTGAATATTCAACAAATTGCTTCAAAGATTATGCTTTAAGTATTAATAACGCTGACTTCACATCAGATGAGGTCATTCAATAAAGTGCTGCTCTTCACTATTAGCATTCTTACACATACCACATTCCGCACTTGTAACTCAAATGAATGACACAAAACAACCATCTACCGAGGTTACCTTCATTTTGGTCTTTTAGTATCACAAAACCAGAGGTTTCTCTACAAATCTGTCTGGAATAACTGATAGTATTCAATATCTGGTCACTAAGAACTGTGGATACATTGCATTTTCCTGGTGGTAGCCCTGGCTTGAAGCAGTGCATATCAATGCCGCTATCAGATCACTCACGATACAGGTGATCTAAAGTTAGAATAAGTAGCACAATAAAAAAAACTGCATGGCTATATCTAATAGGAGTCTACAACAGCACTATTTGGCACTGCAAATAATAAAAAGAATCCTTAAAAGGTTACATAAGAATGCATAATATCTGCTCTTAATCATTTCAGTTCATAGGTTTAAAACTAAAAACATAGCTCCATGATACCTCACAGACATGGTCCATGGATGGGTTTTAACCTCCTGGTTAAGCAGTAGCCAGAAGAGGAATGCAAAAAGTAACTGATGTCAGAATTCCAATGTGATTATAAAAATCCCTTTAAGAAACTTTGTGATTAGAATGTTCTTCCAATGAAGGATCAATCCACTCACAGTTTCACCTGACCTCATGATTCATTACTCATTTACATAGTATCTACAATGTGCTGAGCACTAAAGACATTGTCAAAGAAAGCTAATACATGAGCATATTTGTTCAGTCTTTTTAAATTGATTTTGGGGAGAACAGAGGGTTGGCAGGACTTTGTAGCAGACCTAAACTGAATTTTCTTTTAACTAGACTATGGCAGGTACCAAATAATCCAGATAAGAAATTATTCTATACGGTAAAGAAGTAAATACTTCTTCAAGCTGAAGGACTTAATAAAACTTAGAACAAATTTTACTCATCGATCATTTTAAAATTAAATTATTTGCATCATAAAAAGCAATGCAACTTTCAGACACCTTAAAGTCTCAAGTCAATTGACACGGCCTTGTCTAAGCTAAAGTTCTTTTTTTTTTTTTTTAATTTCTAAAATAGGTCCAGTTTCTCAAGACACTATGAATTTACCATCTTCTTAAAAACTTTTAAAAACCCACTTATCTGAAAGAGTATCTGTAATGACTAATGCAATTAACAAAGTGATCATTAAAATCACTTTATTCAAAACAAAAATGATAGCCATTGTTATATACAACAGAGTAGCTAATATTTTTTAAGTACTTACTATATGCCAGCCATATCATCTTTCAATACGGCAGAATTAAAGTGTTACAGCAATGCCATCAACACTTCCTCTGCTACTTAAGTAAACACTCAAAATACAACAAACAATAGTGAGGAGGAAGAGGAGGGAGGCATGTCCAGAGATGACTTCGTAAATCAAATATCCTTACAATGTCCCTATTTCGTTTCTAAAACCACTGAATGGAAACAGGCTCATCTTATGCAAGTTATAACTGACAGTGAACAGCAAAATTTCAGTGAGTGTGATGAGAAAAGGTTTTAAGATATAAATATTATTATGGATTATATCAGATATCTACAGAGAAGAAACTAAGGAAGAAAAATTAATAGTACATGTTCATTTTTACTGTAACAACAGGAAACGAGGGGGATTTCATAAAGGAAATCTAATCCAAAGCTTACCCCGTTATCCATTATTTGTTTCCGCCATTTTGAGGGGACTAAAGAACTATAGCATAATCCCGTTTTCTCAAAAGCAGTACATTAAACAAAATTCAACCTTACATTTATTAGGTAAGGCTAGCATTCCTGAATATGAGTTACTATGTATCTGTGCCTATAGGAATTTCTGTAACTTATGGATCCTAAGGTTTATATCCTAAAATTAATGGCATCTTATATGTATACTTGGCAGTAATTTTTTTCTTGATGGTACATAAAACAGTGGTGTCTTACAATCACTGACATCTCAGATTTAATTAAAAATAGTACGAAAGAAGGTATAATCAGAAGATGTTTTATCCATGGATCAATTGGCCCTAGACTTCAGTATTTTCACGATTCTTCTGTCTCCTGTTTTTATTTTCAGAAGAAAGACAGTGTGACAAACAAATACAAGCTTTGGAGTTAGGCTAAAGTAGGTTCGGTTCCTAGCTCCAAAGCCTGTGGCCTTGGGTATGCTACTCTCCTTGTACAAACCATCTGTAATTTAAGCATTCTGCCATCTTCCTTTACAGTATCGCTATGATTATTACAGACACTGGATGGAAAGCACACAGAATATGGCATGACTTCAGTACCTCTTTTCTGTCGTAGTAAGTCTAACAGCTTCTGATGCTGCCGAATTCACCAACAGACTGGGGAAGAGCCCCATCTTGGTTTAGACACTACAAACATGGTTGTACCACCATTCATAATGCATTAGCTTACATGTAGTTTCTGAGCTAGATTAGAAATGGTTAAAGTTGCCAGAAAGATGACTCTGGATAAATAAGCATAGCAAACAAATGGCACCATTAAGTTAGGGGGCAGTGTGGGGGGGACACTATTCTCTCACTGGTTTCTATATTCTGTGACACCTGGAATGCACATTCCCGAAGATTTAGAATATTACTGTCAGATCAAGTAACTTATATAAATCTATGCTGTTCAACAGAAACAAATTTTCAACCACTTTAAAATAAAATCAACATATTTTGATATAAAAATAACCATTAACTCAGGCTTCCAGTCTGAGTGGGGGGGGGGCATTGTATTGTTTGCCTGTTTGTTTACCTATGTAGTATTTCATTTCAGTGTCATGTTTGTTCATGAGCTCAAGAAGTCGCACTTCTATCTGGGCTTGATTCAGAAAAGCCTTCTTGTTTTTTATTATTTTAATGGCAACCCATTCTTGCTCCACACGATCATATGCCTTTACGACCTAAAAGAGAAAAAAGATGAGTAATTCTCTATTTCATTAATGGCAAAAATTTCTCAACAGTTTATGATTCACCTTAATTGTACATTTACCTAATTTTCATTTAATTGTATAGTTTTCTAATTCTCATTTTTCTGCCCTTCCTAAGTAAAAAAGATTGTTTTTATTCAATGTATCATCCATGTATTACACAGTAACTTTAAGTCAATCTTTCAAATTGAGTTTCTTTTTACATCCTTATGATATTTTAAAAATCCACGAAATTGATAACTTTCTTGACAAAATTAGATTGTTTTCCTCCTTCAGAAATAAACTATGAATCTTGACAACTGCTTTGGTTTTTTCTTTCTTATTAAATAACACTATAAAACAATTCACCCG